GTGAGGAAATAGAAAGTTTCTACCCCACCTGCTTTGAATTTGGAAATCGAATTTTTCTTCAAACAAAAGTAAGAAACAAAGTGAATGCCGTCATCATGAAGAAGAGAGGTCGAGAGAATCCAACCGTCAGAGCCATGGCCTTGGGTTCTTGGCCTCAAGGACATTGCAAGCACTCAAATTCTAACTAAAAGATGGACAACATATCTAGATCGAATCCATGAGCAATGAAATCCACTGAAACATACTTTGAAGTTTGAAGCTAGCATGCCAATGCATGATGCATCCACCGACAGGCTATTCTAATCTCAACTCAATTTCCTACCCTCCCTCACTACTTGGACTATAAAGGGTACGTACATTACAACATTTTGTAAGTTCAACGGAAAGTTAAGAGTGGGGCTAGTACCATACCATCAATCTAATTACAGTTTGACCCTTTCTAAAATTGCTTAGAAATGAAATTTGAAATTTTTATTTTTTATTTTCTTAATAAACCTCAAAGTTGCCATGACTCTCCCACTTGTCAAGGAGGTTCTTGCTCTCATGGCTGCGCCCCCTAGCCCTAGGAAGCTGTAAGGGACGTTGGTTAACTATATACGCTGGTGCTGCCCCTCATAGGGGTAAGGGGTGGAGTGCCACCCATGACAACCACCGTCTTCTATTAGTGAAAAATAATTAGGGCTATATATGGGTGTTTTGTTGTGTGTGAATATTGAATTTAAAGGAGTGGGTGGTTACCGCTATTTTTTTTTCTTAAACAAAACAAAAGTTGGTGGGTGATCTATGCAAATTATTAAGGGTTTTTTGGGAGTGCTTCTGTAAGCGTTAAAAGCGTTTTTTGACAACCATAAACGTTTTTGACAATGTTTGATATAAAACAATAGAAACACTTTATGGAGAAGCATTTGGTATGTGTTTTTTTAGAAAGCAATCGCAATTGATTTTTTAGGAAGCACTTGGATTTCTTTTAAAAATTTCAACATTTTTATAATGAAAACGATTTTACTAGAAGCGCTTAATAGCATATGTGCTTCCTAAAGAAACAGTCTCAAACGAGCTCTAAGCCTCGATAATACCACTACTCTAATTTTATTATATCATTCTTTTTTACAAGCAACTATTTTAACTCTTAAATTTATCACTTTTTTTTCACCATTATCCAATCAATTAATTGTTAAATTTCATCTGAAAAAGTGGTGAAAAATATCGTTAGACCAATAGCTAATGTCATTATTTATCCACTTGAAACAAAGTAAAATCAATGTATTTTTTTTATTATATACCAACGATATTCTACTTTAATCTAATATAAATTACAGCGAGGGGTATTCGAACTCAAGTGCAGAGTGAGGAGCACATCCACTCTAACCAATTTGAGTAAGCTCATATCTCCATAAAACCAATGTACTTAATCCTCTTGGTTATGTTATGATAGAAAAAAGGAGAATATAAGATTACTTGCCCAACTATTAAACTCTTTATTGTCCTTGGAGCCAACCAGTGTTGGCTTTCTTCATATTTAAACAAAGTAATAATGGTACAGAAACGTCTTTTCTTCCTCCTGCAACAACATGGCCTCATCTTCTAACCTTAGTATATAATATATATTAAACAAAAGTAGTTTAATGAAGTGTTTCCAAGGTGCTAAAAAGAAAGTGTCTAAACTAATCATCTGGGGGTCCAATAAAACACGACCCATGTGATTTCATTTGGGGAGGCAAAAAAAATTAGTAAACAACAAAACATTTTAGTGTATAATAATACAAGGGGCTGACATAAATACATGCATTAAGATACACAATGTCTAGCAAGCGTTTTTTGACAACCAAAAACGTTTTTGACAATGTTTGACATAAAACAATAGAAACTCTTTATGGAGAAGCATTTGGTATGTGTTTTTTTAAGAAAGCAATCGCAAGTGATTTTTTAGGAAGCACTTGGATTTCTTTTAAAAATTTCAACATTTTTATAATGAAAACGATTTTACTAGAAGCGCTTAATAGCATATGTGCTTCCTAAAGAAACAGTCTCAAACGAGCTCTAAGCCTCGATAATACCACTACTCTAATTTTATTATATCATTCTTTTTTACAAGCAACTATTTTAACTCTTAAATTTATCACTTTTTTTCACCATTATCCAATCAATTAATTGTTAAATTTCATATGAAAAAGTGGTGAAAAATATCGTTAGACCAATAGCTAATGTCATTATTTATCCACTTGAAATAAAGTAAAATCAATGTATTTTTTTATTATATACAAACGATATTCTACTTTAATCTAATATAAATTACAGCGAGGGGTATTCGAACTCAAGTGCAGAGTGAGGAGCACATCCACTCTAACCAATTTGAGTAAGCTCATATCTCCATAAAACCAATGTACTTAATCCTCTTGGTTATGTTATGATAGAAAAAAGGAGAATATAAGATTACTTGCCCAACTATTAAACTCTTTATTGTCCTTGGAGCCAACCAGTGTTGGCTTTCTTCATATTTAAACAAAGTAATAATGGTACAGAAACGTCTTTTCTTCCTCCTGCAACAACATGGCCTCATCTTCTAACCTTAGTATATAATATATATTAAACAAAAGTAGTTTAATGAAGTGTTTCCAAGGTGCTAAAAAGAAAGTGTCTAAACTAATCATCTGGGGGTCCAATAAAACACGACCCATGTGATTTCATTTGGGGAGGCAAAAAAAAAAAGTAAACAACAAAACATTTTAGTGTATAATAATACAAGGGGCTGACATAAATACATGCATTAAGATACACAATGTCTAGCAATAACATATGTAGATGTATATGAGAGNCATGATTGAACATCCCATTCTTTGAGAGCCTTAAAGAAATGGAAGAGTATTTTAAGTGTCCGTTTGACATTACTTATTTAAGTGATTTTAAAAAAAATTTAGAAAGTTTAGCCTGTTTGGTAAACTATGAGAAAATCACTTATTGTTAAAAATTGATGTGAGAGAAAGGTATAAGGGAAAACAGCTAATGAAGTATTTTTATTATATGATTATGCAGGAATTAGTTTCGAAGAGACACTGGGGTTAATGATTATGCGGGAATCAATACCAATAACACTTTTAAAAAGTTTACCAAATGCTAAACTACTTTCTCTTACGTTTGATTTCTCTCACAGTGATTATTTTCACAGCACAACAATACCAAACTGGCCCTAAATATATTAAAAAAAAGGTTTAGCCAAATGAATATGTAATTTATGGAGTACCTACCAGAATTTAGCACTAATAATTTATGGTCAATAAAAAAACCTCATAACAATAAATTAATTGCTATAAAAGTAAGTGTCGTTTCAAAGTTTGATTGATTAAGAAATATATGATTTATTTATTTAAAACCTTTTTTTTTTTTCGGTAGATTCTATCATCTAATCTGATATATACAACCGGTCTGGTTTCCAATCTTGGACTGCATAACTAACTCAACTGGCATAAACATTTGCCAATTATTCTTAACAGCGGATCAAAGTTTAATGCGTGTGTGAGAGAAAGCCTCCTACCCTTTAGTTTACATTGTCGCTTATACTAAAAAGAAGTTTAATGCATATGAAAAAACTTATATGATTGTATTTTTAATGAGTTCTTTCTACATATATGTCAAACTGCGACTGGGAGGAAGTATGAATGGGTCCATTGAGTATTCGAAAGACAATAATTGACAAACTAAAGACCGAAATATAGTCAAAAATAGTTTCGATTGTCGCAGCCACTAGAAAATGCCAATAATCACATCTGATGGAGACCAAAACAAAGTTGGCATTGAAACAAGTACTTCTGATAACATTTGATTGCACCAAACTGTTGTACCAAGAAACTTTGTTTTTTAAAACAACCGAAAGTTATCTGAAGAGAAATACAGATAATAAACATGGCAAGAGAACACTACTTTCTGACAAGTACCGGTTTAGGGGACAAAGATTTCAGCTAGAACCTCATGAAAATGATATATATATATATATATATATATATATATATATAGAGAGAGAGAGAGAGGAGAGAGAGAGAGAGGCACATCCATGTTATTCGGTTTTCCAGATAAATTCCAATATTCTGGGGATTTTCACATACAAATGAAGTATTGGTATACAATTTCACAATCATTGGGGTTTGGTGAATAATCCTTTGAATTGTTGAAAACCATGTCATAAAACTTCCAAGCAATTGGTAAAAACTTTTAATGAGATTGAAAACTTGGGGTATCAAATTTGAAGTTTACATAATTTTCTCATATATCTTGAGTTCTACTTTTCTTTGTTGTGTAGTGTACAACAAAAACTCACCAACTTAATTATGAAAAAACACCACAATAGATATACCCAAATCCATAGTAAGAAACTGAAATATGAAAAAACTGTACAAAGCCATTGAGTTACTTTCGAATGTTCGGTTTCTTCATTGGAAACAAAAGGCCTACTACAGCACCATAGACAATTAGCATAGTTGCAGCATCATGGAAGAAAACTGAAAAGGTTCCGAAACTAAAGCAGTAAGTTATGAAGCACCTCGGAGACGAGAATTAATTGGTATAACCAAGTTCAAAATGCTGGTTCTTCAGCACCTCCAAACTGAGACTGAGATGAGATCCTTGCGCTGCCAGCAGAGAACAAGCGAAGACTGTCTCTTCTCGATGTGGAAACCCCCAACTGGAGTCCGCTGCACTAAGCACTCGGCTTGAGACTCGGTGAAATTACTGAATGTCAATGGGGAGAACCCAGATGACGAAAACAGAGTCCTCCATGGAGGTGTTCTTTTGGGCGAAAGGTGGCGGCCGGTTACAATCTTTTCAATGCCAGGTTGGAGCAAGTACCTTTCAATCTTCTGCAGGGCATCTGGGTTTACATTTACAGCATCTAGTGATTCAAGCAGGCCAGAGTAAGAGTGAAGGGCTTGGATGATTTGGTGGGCAAATGGAACATCGGTCCGGTCACTGCCTCTGTCCAAAGAGACCACAATTTTTGGAGAAAGCTGCTTAACGAAGCGCAGGGCCATAGTAAGTGATAAAGGGTTATTTGAAAATGAACCAATTGGGAGATTAACAGCAACTGCCACACCCTCAGAGACATGAAGGGGCAATCCCCAAGAACCAGAGTTCAACGCCTCGAGGCTTACAAGTTCGAGGTCGAATGACAAGTTAAGTTCACTAGCAAAGTGTTTGAGGTTTTCTCGAGTGAAACCAATCTCAAATTCATCATGCGTGGTGGAGGATATAAATGCAGTGATCTTAAAAGAAGGTGCCCCACAATTTCTCAAGGCAACTTCTTGCATAAAAGAAGCCCATTGCCCACCATAGCCAATATCAAAATCAATAACATGGACACGGTTGAAGCCTTCCACAGCTTCAAGGATGGCTTGGTTACAAGTAAAGTTGGCAAATTGGAGAACAGGTGAGATTTCAGAGAATGATTTATAAGCATCAATCTTGACAATGAGGCTAAAAGGTGACAAAGCATTAGAAGAGTTACTAGAGGTGTTGATGTGAAGGAGCAATTGTAAGGCCTCCTTGAAATAAAAAGCAGCCCTTTGAAAAGGCTTACCAATGGGAGAGAGCTGGTGATTGAGCCGCGCCAATATCCCTTGCGCGAGTGCCGGATTTCCTGTTTCGATCAGCTCTGCTGCATTGAAAAGCTGGTCAATTGCTGCTTGCTGAAGCTGCTGCTGGTTCTGGTTCTGGTTCATCATTTCTTTAGTTCCCTCTGCTGGGCTCAACATATTCTCCTTCGCCAACATTGTTGGCCTCTGTTGTTGGAGATGCTGTGGAAGAAATTGAAGCTGCTGCTGCTGATGCTGATGCTGCTGCTGTGCCCGAACCAATAGCTCTTGTCCGGGATTCGTAAACGGTGCTCTTTGGACCGGGTAATTGGGTCCAAAGCCACCAGAATTAAGCCTTTTGGGTGGTGGTGGTGAAAGAAGGTGGTGCTCTTGCAATTGGGCATATGTCAAAGGCATAAACATAGCTGGGTTTTGAGTGAATTGAGCTTGGTTTTGGTTCATCACCATCTGGGGATTGAAAATTTGAGGCTTCTCATCCATACCCATGTGTTGTTGCTGCTGCTGAAACATGCCAGGAGAAAGTGAAGCAGGGAAAGGGTTGTTCATTGAAGCAGAGAACATGGTGCTTGGTGAAGATGATGACCCAAACCTCACATTGGTGCTCTGAACATTTGGGCTACTATTACTGAAAGCAAAATCAGAACCAGATGTTGCATGTAGAGAAGGATCAACATTAATGTTGCTCACCAAATTCCCAGTATTGGGTTCAAAGCCATCATAGCCTCCTTGATCCACCACATCATGAAACCCTGCACTGAATTCCAAATCTTGCTGATCAGAACCGCTTCCACTCTGCAACAGCTTGTTCAACCCAAGAGAAGGGTCTTCAATATCACTCATAATCAACCTCAGAATGGACTGCTCTTGACCCGGAGACTCAGACAAGACACTCTCCCAGTCCTCCATTCCAAGCGCCTGCCCACATTTTGATTCTTCTAATGGTGTTTGAGATATGTTTTCGTACACCGCCGCTGCAGTAGTGGCCAAGCAGGTGGTTGTGTCTGTAGAGCCGCTGCCGCCACCACCACCGCCGCTGGCTCCGCCGCCGCCGCCGCCGAGAGAAGAAGACAGTGTTGAAGAGGATGTGGGAGGGCTTGGGCTTCTTCTGGTGTCGAGAACAGAGGTGGGCTCAATGCTGCCCACATAGCAATTCTCTTTGTTGCTGTTTTGGTTCCACTTTTGCTGCTGCTGCTGATTGTGGTGGTGGTGGAGATGTTGATTTTGCGGTGGCTGTGAATCTGAAGTTGAAGAAGAGAAATCTAACACCCCCTTCCCTTGAAACTGCTCAAAGGGTAGGGGCATGGCCTTCATCTAACAAAATAAACACTGATAAAAATACACACAAACCCAAGAACCCAGCAACCTCCAGTTTTTTCAAGAACAACAAAAACCCACCTCCCAAAAGACTCCCAGAGAACAAAATACAAATGGGTTCTTCTCAAATTTACAAAAACCCAAGAGCTCAATGCTTAAATTTACAGAAGCAAAAGCTCTGATTTTTTAGGCCTAATTCAAATTCTGACTCAAACAAAGGCTGCCCAAGTGAATGCACAGTTGAAATGAAATCTCAGAACACAGAGACACCTAGCTCTTAGGCTCTTAGCTGCTGCTACTGTTCCTCTGGTAGCTTGATGCCTGTCTTTGTTGCAAACAAAACAAGCTCTTGCGTTTGATGTAAGACCTCAAGGCTCAAGACCCATTTTTGGAACCATCTTCTTCTTCATTTCTTGTATGTGGTTTGGGCCTTTTGGAGGGTTTTCTTCTTTCTCCTCTGCCGGTGCCTTGAGAGGAGTAGTACTTCGTCTTCCTTCTGTTTTCTGCTATGTGGATGCGTGCAACATATAAAAGTGGTAAAGTGCTTCTCTCTCTCTCTCTCTCTCTCGTTTTCATACTTTTTTTTTTTTCATTTTATATTTTTCATTTTTCATTTTCATTTTTTATTACAATTTTTTTATGTGGCTTTTGTCTGTAGATGTGGTTATCTCCCTGCTAGGGTTACTGTCACGCACTTCAAACCCACTCTCATGCATCACACGTAAATGCCAATCAAACTTCCTAGACAATTAAATTATATGTATTTGTTTTGCCGCAATTAAAATATATGTTCAACCACACAAAAAATGAAAAAAAGATTTATGTTTACATAAATATATTTATATTTTTTTTTAAAAATGTAATTTTCCAACTGAATTAAGCAATTTAATTTCCACAATGCCAAAAATGAAAAATCCCAAAGAAATAAAATTTATTTAATAAATATTTAGAAGAGAAAAATCCCATTTCCCATGCACTATTCTAAAAGGGCGCGTGAGAGCGTTGTCCTTCTAATGGTTTATTTCTTTTATTAGTTTACAGAGAGCGACGAGAGACAGAGAAAAGATGAACTGGCTGAAGTGGCTTTTGCAACTTGGTGGCATTTCCTAAATTACCTTTCTCCATTTGGCTACAATCTAGCTCCACTGCTCCTGCAAGGCTAGGCGAGTATAGGGCTATTTAAGTAATTTAGGGAGAACAGCTTCTGCAGTCCTGGTTTTCGAAACTGAATCTGACGGCACGTTAATGCGTGGCCTTTTTTGGGTTTGAAGATATCGAGGTGGATTGGACGGACCAGATATTTGGTTTGAGTTAAAAATATGTGGTTGCGATTCAGAGCTTCAATTTTTTTGTCGAAGTTTGTATCAGTGAGTAACAAATTTAAATACTTTTCTATTCAAACCCCAAAATACTCATTGCACTCTCCCTCCAAATTTTGCTTTTCAAAACTTTCGGATTAATCCTAAAAACTTAAAGAAATAATAAATTACAAAAGGAAATATTTATAAGAATTAAAAGCCGAAACAACACTAGAATCCGATTACATTTTTTCATAATCCTAATCAAATGTATCAACATGAATTGAATTATGTCTAATTTTATTACGCCTCAAAGTGGTAGGATTATAAATCTCATCCCACCAAAAAGATGGGATTAAGCTGGATGAGTTTATGTCTAATCCTGCTACACCATGTAATAGCATATTTCAATAAATTATGCTCCTTAATCATGTGTATTAGCACCAAATGCACTATTCGATTACCGCTACCCTCTTCATTCTAATATAATTCAGTGCGCTACTAAATTACTAATTCAATCTCAATCACTAAACATGTCCTCAGTGGCTGAAAACATTTGCTCAAAACAACAATTAAAGAAGGAGAATGGTCAATCCATCTACAACAAATGGGTAGACTTAGCTGATATCATAATTCTTTTGTTTCTTCACAAAGCCATTTTGGCTAAGATGAAGTATATATCGAGCACAGAAGTTTGTTAGACATGAATACAGATAAGGAATTCACCTCAAATTCTTCAACTCAATTTCCAATAGCCTCAAATAACTGAAACAACACCTCAAATCACAAAATCATAGCCTAATTAGACAACTAATCTAAATGTGGACAAAATCTGAAACCAACTCAAAGCTCATAATAATTTACCTCAACTTGTAGAGTTCATTCTCATCATCGTAAGACGAATGCGATTCGTATTCATGATTTTGGACTTGCAAATAAAAGGTTATAGAAAAAAATATATATTTGGTCAGAAAAATACGAGAGAACTTGAGTTTGGATAACAAAGCAAGTTTTTTTTTTCCTTTTTTATTTTCTTCTTTATCGTCCAATCAGATATTACGTCACTTCATCCAAGTGGATGCTAAAGTAGCGTGACACGCTTTACTGAGCTGGCGTCCATGCGACCGCATGATTAGAATACCATTCTCCTCATCCTATGCTCCACATTTTTTCATATCACGACTTATTAATTTGACAATTTTCAACTTTAAAAATTCACCAAAATACTTCCAAACACAGAAAAATTCCTTGAAATTTTTTACGGGCTGGTAGTCACCTCTACTTTTATTATGTGACTTCAAAAATTAATGTTTGACCAGAATAGTTTTTTTTTTTTTCTAAAAAATTTCTCACTATTTCTAACTCAAATCATAAAGTTTGAAATAAATTCTTAAAATTCCACATCGCTTAAAGTTCATAAAAACAGCTTCCAAGCATGTGAAACATGTTCGCTATGCAAGCTATGTTTGAGTTGAAATTAATTCCATATTGAAAAACTAAAGCTCCTTTTTAAATTTTTTTTCATCAATCAAAGTTCATTAAAACCCCAAAAATGGGAAGAAACAAACAGAGAATACAAGGCCGAAAATGCCAAATGCAGAAACAAAGTACCACAAGCATAGGGAAGATTAAACTAAAAACCAATACAGTCTAGTATAGCAAATCTTCCCCATACAAAATCAAAACAAAATAAAAAACTGAGCCACCGTTGCCACAAAGGGATCGGAGACCCCACCAATATGGTCACAAAGGAGGGGATTCACATCCTCCACACAAGTCAGCATAGCTACACATAAAAACTAGAGCTTTTTATAAGACGTATTTTCGGAAGTAGATTAGTTTGAATTGGACTATGCAAGTGGCCCAAATGAATGACAAGTGGGTTTGACCTATTGGGTCAATGCCCAGCAAAAGAAGTGAAAACTAAAGGGGTTTACCAAACAGACGTTCTGGGCTTTTCTCTATTGCGGATGTGGCATGAGAACCAGACTAGCACACCGGCTTCTTTTCTAGCCGTTTCAGAAAAGCCCATTATCGTCAAAAGCAAAATCTCTCTGTCAATTTGGTAATTTTTCCTCCTTAAACTCTGTTCAAAAGGGCCTAGCTCTCATGTATTTAGCTGGGCCTGAATGGGAAAGAAGGCAGCAAGAAATTGCTTTGCTTTGTCATAACAGAAAGAAAAGAAGGGGAGGCTGAAAGGGCCATCAACGAGCAGTAAAAAGAAAGCTTGCCCAAACACCAAAGCAACCTTCATCTTTACCTTGAATAATTTAGACATTATTTCGGTGATCTTTAAATCGTTTCAAAATGGCAGCAAAATAGCATTTTTTGTGATTTCTTTTTATCAAATAATCATATGAATGGTTAGTTTCAACGTAATACACTTCACTGCGCAATGAGCTGCCTACGCTATGGCCCAAATGAAAAGGATGGAGAGTGAGAGAACAAATATTTTTCTCTTCTGTAAAAGAACCTAACTAGGTAACCCTGCCCTGGTTTTCTATGAGCAGGCTTCAGAAACCCCGAATCTATTTGGTTCATTTCGTTCAAGAGTGCCAGATAATTTTTGCAAAGATTATTAAGTTGGTGCTACTTGTTCTCTCTCTAAATCGTACATTCAATCCATGCATGAAAACAATGGTAATATTGGTTCAAAAATTCAAAATGCATCATACTGGTAAACTTGTGGTACATCAATCGTTGCTTCAAATGCACAAAAAAGAAATGCAGCCTTTATCTGACATCATACTGGTTCAAATGCATTCAGTCCTTGATAAATTATTTCTTTTGTGCTTTGAAGGTAATTGTGGAGAAGGTAGAGAACATTGACAATTTGACAGGAAAAAGTAAACACCAGTTTCATGTTACGTCATGTTGTAATGAGTTTTGTGAATGGGTTAAAATTATCTTTAGAATCATATTGGTTTCATAAAAAACAATTTAAATATTTTTTTTATCCAAATCCATGTGGGGTGCTATTATTGGACATGTGTGCTCTACATATGTGCCACATAAGCAATTTAACAAATTTTTTTACAGAATCTCACGATATGGATCAGTTTGATGTATGTGTTGAAATATAAGTGCTTTAGCTTAAATGAACTTGTATTTAGTTTAAATTTACAGATTTAAATGTGAGCCATTGGATTACATTCGAATTGGACAGCTAAGATGTAATCTTAGAGTTGATGAATGGATGGCTAGATTTGGATGATGTAATGAGGGAATATTCTGTTCCCAACGGTTATTTGTGCACAGTGTGTGCGTGAATGATAGAAGAATTCATTTGCTTCTTTCTCAAGTTCTCTCTCTCTCTGGAAAATCTCTCTCTCAGTCTTTCTATGTTAACATGGCCACAGAGCCAGGTTTGATGGCTTAACTCTGGGCGTTTGAATCTGTGAAGGAAATGAGTTGAGATTGAAGAAATTGTTTGCAAGATATGTGTCTAACATGGCAAGGTCTAGAGGTGGTGAGCTGAGAGCGCCGATTTTCGACGGCAAGAATTATGAATTCTGGAGCATAAGAATGAAAACTATATTCAAATCTCATGGGTTATGGGAGTTTGTTGAGAAGGGAGTAGAGTGCTCAGATTCGAAGGAAGCTGATGAATCCGATGCAAAGAAGAAAGAAGAATCAAGTGATGCTGGGAAGCTGACTCTCGCAAAGGTATTCATGAAGGATGCTAAACCTCTGGGAGTGATTCAAGGAGCAGTTTTCGATGAGATCTTTCCTCGGATCTCTCACGAAGATAGCTCCAAGGGAGCTTGGGATATCTTTATGCAAGAATTCCATGGTGATAAACAGGTTAGAAGTGTTAAACTACAAGGTCTTTATAGGGAGTTTGAATATACAAGAATGAGAGATGATGAATCACTCTCTGTTTATCTTACAAAACTGTTGATATAATAAACCAAATGCGGAGCTATAGAGAGGAATTATCTAGACAACGAGTTGTTCAAAAGTTGTTAATCAGTCTGCCATCTGCTTATGATTCCATTTGTTCTGTTATTGAGCATTTGAAGGATTTGGATGTGATTGAGGTACAAGAAGTGGTAGCCTCTTTGAAGAGTTTTGAGTTAAGGCTAGATAGGCATTCTGAAAACAAAACTGAGAGAGCATTTGCTAGTCTTAGTGTGAATACCAAATTAGATAAGTCCACTGGAAATCAAAGTGCTAAGGACCAGAAGAATTGGAAGGCAAAAGGTAAAAAGTGGGATAACAAATCCACTGAGGGTGCTAGAAATCCTTGCAAGCACTGTGACAATTGCATTTTGGTGAGTGTCGATTTAAGGGTAAGCCAAAGTGCTACAACTGTGACAAGTTTGGCCATCTTGCAAGGGACTGCTATAGTAAGAAATTAGAGAAACCAAAGAAACCAGTGCAACAACTCAAATATGCCACTCAGGTAGAATCTACACCAACTATGTTTTATGCTAGTAATAAATCTAATACTAGTGTAAAAGGATATGAGGATGTATGGTATGTAGATAGTGGATGTAGTAATCATATGACAGGTAGGGAGGATCTACTTGTTGATATTGACAAGAATGTGACTGCAAAGGTTGAAATGGGTATTGGACAACTTGTTGAAGTGACTAGTAAAAGGAATCTTGTGGTTGAAACCAAAATAGGCAAGCAATACATTAAGGAGGTTATGCTGGTGCCTGGACTGAAAGAAATCTACTCAGTGTGGGTCAAATGATGGAGCATGGCTACTACTTGGGGTTTGGAGATCACAAGGTGGAAATCTATGATGACAGTTCATATTCCAACATGGTTGCAAAAGTACAAATGAAAGGAAATTGAAGTTTTCCAATGAAGTTGCAGTCTGGAATACACATTGCCCACAAGGCGAGTGTATGTCACTCTACTACTATGTGGCACAGGAGATTGGGACATTTGAACATGAGCAGTTTGAAGTTGATGCAGGAACAAGAAATGGTGGTAGGTTTACCAGAAATCAAAGTAGCTAAAGAAGTATGTGAATGTTGTGTTCTAGGTAAACAATGCAGGGAGGAATTTCCAAGGGAAGCTACTACTAGAGCATCAACTCCTCTAGAACTTATACATAGTGACATATGTGGTCCAATGCAGACTGTTACAAAAGTAGAAAATAGGTACTTTCTCACTTTTATAGATGATTGTACTCGGATGTGCTGGATTTACTTTTTGACATACAAGTCTAAAGTATTCAATGTCTTTAAGCGGTTTAAGGCTACTATTGAACTGCAAAGTGGATATAAGTTGAGGAAATTGAGAAGTGACAGAGGAGGAGAGTATACATCCATTGAATTCAATAGGTTCTGTGAAGAAATGGGAATGGAAAGGCAACTCACTGTGGCATATTCACCACAGCAGAACTGTGTGGCTGAAAGAAAGAACAGGACCATTGTGGAGATGGCTAAGTGTATGATCTTTGAGAAAAAGATGCCACTAGAATTTTGGGCTGAAGCTGTGAACACTGCAATATATATTCTAAATAGGTGTCGAACTAAGGCTTTGGACAAGAAAACTCCATTTGAAGCCTATAGTGGAAGAAAGCCAGGAATTAAGCATTTAAGGGTGTTTGGTTCTTTGTGCTATGCACATGTTCCAAACCAACAGAGACAGAAGCTCGATTGGGCTAGCATAAGATGTGTGTTTCTAGGGTATGGAAGCTGTGAAAAAGGCTACATGCTTTATAACATTGCATCTGGAAGAGTGGTTATTTCCAGAGATGTAGTATTCAATGAGAAAGCAAGCTGGAATTGGAATGCACAAAAAGAATGTAGTATCTCAATTCCACTTACTATATGATTACTGAGAAAGAAAAGGAGACTGGTGAAACTAGTTTGACTCAAGCAGAGATCTCAGAAGAAGAACATGTTGAACTTGGTTCAGGTCCACAAGATATTGATCACACTCCTCTGAAATATCAAAGTATTGCAGAAGTGTATGAAAGATGTAATCTGTGCATCATTGAGCCTGAGACATTTGAAGAAGCTGTCAAAGATGAGTCATGGCAGAAAGCAATGGAGAATGAAATTGCAATGATATTGAAGAACAATACTTGGGAGTTGGTTAATAGACCATCTGATAAGCCAGTAATTGGTGTCAAATGGGTTTATAAAACCAAGTTGAATCTTGATGGCTCGGTTCAGAAAAAGAAAGCAAGGCTCATTGCAAAGGGTTACTTTCAAAAGCTTGGAATAGACTTTAATGAGACTTTTGCACATGTTGCTAGGCTTGATACAATTAGAACATTGATTGCTTTGGCTGCACAGAAAGGGTGGAAGTTGTTTCAATTAGATGTGAAGTCAGCATTCTTGAATGGAGTATTACATGAAGAGGTATATGTTGACCAACCTCTTGGATTTATGATTAAGAACAAAGAAGATGGAGTTTACAGACTCAAGAAGGCATTATATGGCCTTAGGCAAGCTCCAAGGGCTTGGTATGAAGAAATCAACTCTTATTTCACAAAGAGTGGTTTTCAAAGAAGTCCTAGTGAAGCAACATTATATGTAAAGACTGCAGAAAGTGGAATACTCATTGTTTCTCTAAATGTGGATGATATTATTTACACTAGAAGTTCAGGGGAATTGATGATGGAGTTCAAAACTGAGATGATGAAACAATATGAAATGACTGACCTTGGGTTATTGCATCATTTCTTGGGTTTAGGTGTGATACAAACTGAGTCTTACATCTTCTTGCATCAGAAGAAGTATGCAAAGACATTGCTGGATAAGTTTGGTTTCAAAGATTGTAAACCAGTTGTTACTCCTCTTGCAGTGAATGAAAAACTATATAAGATGGATGGGAGTGAACAAGCTGATAAAAGTGTATATAGGCAGATAGTTGGAAGTCTGCTATATTTGACTGCAACAAGGCCAGACATCATGTTTGCAGCAAGCCTTTTGGCTAGATTTATGCATGGTCCTACCAGAAAACATATGGGAACTGCCAAGAGAGTACTTAGGTACATTCAAGGCACACTTGATTATGGTATAACATATGAGAAAGGGAAAGAAGCAATGCTCATTGGCTACTGTGATAGTGATTAGTCAGGGAGTGAGGATGACATGAAAAGCACATCTGGATATGCATTTAGTCTTGGATCAGGTGTATTTTCTTGGGCATCAGTTAAGCAAAGTAGTGTTGCACTATCCACTGCAGAGGCTGAATATGTTAGTGCAGCAGAAGCCACTGCACAAGCAATCTGGCTGAGATTTGTTCTCTCAGATTTTGGTGAAGAGCAGGTTGGTGCTACTCCAATTCTATGTACCTCAGCTATAGCCATAACCAAGAATCATGTGCATCGTCATAAGACAAGGTATATAAACATGAGATTTCATTTAAAGAGATGCTTTGCAAAATGGAGAGATCGATTTATTATACTGCAAGATTGAAGAGCAAACTGCAGATATTTTTACCAAGGCATTGGACAAGGACCGTTTTGAATACTTGAGAAGAAAGCTTGGAGTAATCTCATCTAAACACTTAGAAGGGAGTGTTGAAATATAAGTGCTTTAGCTGAAATTAACTTGTATTTAGTTTAAATTTACATATTTAAATGTGAGCAATTGGATTACATTCCAATTGGACAGCTAAGATGTAATCTTAGAGTAGATGAATGGATGGCTAGATTTGTATGATGTAATGAGGGAATATTCTGTTCCCAACGGTTATTTGTGCACAGTGTGTGCGTGAATGATAGAAGAATTCATTTACTTCTTTCTCAAGCTCTCTCTCTGTGGAAGATCTCTCTCTCAGTCTTTCTACGTTCACAGTATGCGTAGTAATATTAAGGACCAACCATGTCACAAAAAAACACAAAGGAACAAAGGTGATAATTTCCTAAACCTCTGAGACCATTTGTGAACATGAGCCTTAATTATACACAGTTTTGCAAATATTTGAGGTTTTCCCATTTCCTGTAAACTGTGTAATCTCTGTTCGGGGAGGGAGCTTTTCAACTTAATTGGGCTCATTTTCTTGTCATGATCTATATATATGAAGAAACAAATTGCTACATATTGTGCTATATCAAAGCTAAACAGCTTTTATATATATAACTCTATATATTTGACTGTGAAACAATTTGTCTATGCATCTAAACTGAGTGCAGAAAAGGCAATCTACAAATTTGTAGACAATGTCCTCCCACCTACCTACAGGTATCTATCTACAACAACTTCTCTCTCCCTCTCCCTCCCTCTTAGTTTAAGTTTAGGGTTGAAATTCAATGGCAGTGCACCTTTGTCTTGGTAAATATAGTTAATTACTGACACTAGTCAAAATTTGGTTGGAAAGATGTTCATAAGATTCTGGGATATAATTAAACTTCTGCTAAAATACCTGGAGTATATGAATTGCATAAAACTTTTGCAAAAACTTAGTATTGATATTGAAGAGAGGGATTTTAGCATTGATGGAAGAATTGGTAAACGGTTAATGCTTGTCCTAGCTATAAATCTTATATGACCAATGTTTTGAAATTGCTCATATTTGTATGATTGATCTTTAAATGTTAATGCATACATGTGTGATTTCGGGACTCACAAATATTAATGGTAAAAAATAATTGGATCCACGTGGATATTGACGACCTACCTTAGCAGCCTTATGTACAATTAAAGTACAGTATAAAAGTCATAGATCAATGAATGAATTTCTAGATATACAGTACAAGTATTTAAAAGGCTAGAAGAAGCAAAAATTATATTTAAGAAGTTATAATCGCACAATTTGTGCCGTAACTCAAAGCCTGCTTACATGCTTCAATTAGGTTCAATATACAATGGGGAGAATGGGGCCCAAGGGACGCGTGGGGACCTCAGGACAGCACCTGGTAAATGACTATTTCACATGGCTGAGCGCCACGTGTCAAGCTTGGCCGGTATGCAAGTATGCAGAAATAGATAAAAAGAAATTCCGCTGCCGGGATTCGAACCCGGATTAACAATTATCCATTTGTGAGTATTGCTACAGCGGATTTTGGTGATCATAAATGGATAAAAAATCTATATAAACGAATCTATGGAGTTAAAAAGCCCATTTATTTTTGCGTTGAATTTGGGTTGGGCTGAGGAGCTGGGCCTTGGAGGCCTTAGGTGTGTGTATGTGGGACTTCTTCTTCGTTCACAATTTCCCGCCAAAACAACCTTTCCAAGTTAACCCACAACGCATAAACCAAACAAGAGATTGAAAATTTCTGGAGCAAGAGAGAGAGATGGAGGTGAAGAAAGCAGGGGCGTCGTTGGATTCGGTGATCTCAGGGTTCAACCGTCGGATCGCGGAGCTTCAAGATCTCGTTATTGCGCGAAACAGTAAGACCCGACCCGAACCAACTTGCTACTCTGCTTGATTCAATTTCTCTAATCCCAGGCGTCCATGTGAGCTCTGAAATGTCCACGTGGCAGTGTATCCGGCGAGCAGCGTCACCGATTTGTCGGCCGTTGACGCCGCAGTGAAGGCCATGGAGCTTCAGGTTCAGGCCATCAAGGACCGCCTACGCGACGAAACCCTAGCCATCGCCAAAGCCAAAGTATCCCCCTTCTCTCCATCTCTCTCTCAAGTTTTAAGCATTCGAAATTTGAATTTTCAAAGGGGGAAATTAAAAATTGAAGTAAAATTCTTAATCTTGCAACTAGGAAAGTAAAAGAATGAAATTTGATCATCTGGGTGCGTTTGGTACATATTTGCTTGTAGAATTCTCAGTGAATTACAATTAGATGTTATAATGTGATGGCAGAAACTCATCGATGCGGCGGTGAAGCAGCAAAAGAAATTGCAGGACCTGTCAATTTATGTGCCCTCACATATTCCTGAAAGAATGTCTATGTTGGGTTTGGATACTAATAGATGGTAAAACAAATTTCTCAGGCATCCATATGGATTAAGTAACTTTGGTTTGGGTTTGAAGTTTATTTGCATTTGATAGCTAGAGGATTTGTGTTGTGTTGTTTGTTTCAGTTTATTCCCAGAAGGCTCTCAACAAAACACCGGTTTCGGGTCGTTGAAGCTAGAGGAGGTGCCTGCAGCACTACCTAAGGTAATAAATGCTCTCTCTAGTCTCTACACACAAAGACGCATACACTTGTCCATTGCAGGGTCATTGAATATACTTTGAAGAATCCTGTCCTTGTTCTTGTTTGTGCACTTATTTGGGTGAACAATTGCTTAGTATTTCTTAAAGGGTGACCCTTTTCTTCACACTATTGGTGTATAGGGTTGGGTACTGTCATATTAATATTAGATTTTTTTTTTCTTTTGTGCACTTGAGAAATGATGCGCAGAAAATGATAATGGGAGACTGTTGTTCAGTTCTTTAGCTAGTTTGTTCTGTAACCATCTTTTGTTTTATGTTGCAGATACAGTAGAAGGGTCATCTGTGCTTTCTTTTTTTGTTAATTTCAGGAGAAAAAGGGTCGTTCCACTCCACCACTGTGGTTCATAACTGCTGAAGAGCTGGATTCCCTGTCAGGGTGAGTGAACTTTTCTTAATTTCTCTTACTTTATTTGTTAAGAGCGCGTCCCATCTTCACTGTATGCTTTTGAAAACAAAAGCTTACTTACAAGATAGTTGCGTTTACATCTGAGTTGGGCATAGGCTGTCCAAATGGGACATCTCAAAATCAAGTTGTATAAATGTGACATTTTGTAAATCTATGAGGTTGAACTCCTACATGTACAAACAAGTAATAGTATTGGACCTGAGCCTTGTCTCAAATGGTTAACAAGTAAAGTTGGCTGTCACGTCTTCTTCTAATTCCAGAGTAAAAATGAGTTAAGATGTCTTGTCTCTCGACCTGATCTTAAAGTACTTTACATCCACAAACTACAGACATTTCATTTGTTGGGAACAAAAAGCTTCCCCCTAGTATGCGAGTATGCAGAAAATGGAGCAAAAAAACCCAAAAAAAAGCTACAGGAATAAAAATGATGAAGAGCAAGAAATATGGCAATGCTAAAAGGGATTTAAAAGGTGTTCTCTTTCCATTCATACAGATATCTCATAATACTGTCCTTCGTTTTCATTGAAGAATGTTCCACCACTTCAAAATCTCTCAACTCTTTCCAGCTATGATACACATACTACGACAATTTGAAATCTCTAATCCTTTCCAGCTATGAAACATAACTTTCTTTGTGTTGCCTTAGCATATAAGAGAATATGATAGCTAGTAACTCAATAGAACTGTGATATATCTTGGGTGATCCTATATTGTCTCCTTCTAATTTGTCCCCAGTTTTCTTTCCATGGTGGGTAGGTGATGGAAAATGAGGTCTGAAGTATCTAGTCCTTATTATTCGTGTCACTTGCTTGCTCTAAAGTATTTTTAACTGCAGGTACATGAGAGGAAGGCTTACTGTAGAAAAGATTAATGCAGCTATTAATGACATGGCAACATATGCTGAAGCAAATTCTCAGCTTATATCTGCCCCAAAGAAGAGGGTTTATGCTCTATCTCTTTCAGTTTTTGGTTTGTACATTAATGCTATTGCACAGGTCTGACTCTGGTGACCAATTATCATACAGGTGGCAGGCGATAGTTGGGAAAAGGCCCTGGTAAGTGAAGTTATAGGCTTTCAATTTTCTGGGGTTCCATTGGTGGCCAATTGGGCCCATGGGTTACAAAGTTTTAGATAGTTCTCTCTCATCATATAAGCCTCTCTATCCTTGGAGGTGGGAATTGATCCCAGGTTAAAAGGGCATGCTTACTTCACTTTTCTCAGGATTGAAGGCAGGCCACCTCATATTGTGTTGCTTACTGTGCACTCTTTGAAATACATGTAAAAAAGAATTAGAGAGAAATAGCAATATCCCTTCCTCTGTTCCGTTCCAACACCATTGTGTTTTTTTTGGTTACAAATGATGCGTCTAGTAGGGTTTTGGAATATGGACATAAAGTAATGTATTACCATTTCAGTCAATGGGCATGTGGGCTGTCACTGCTGCTTAACTAGTCATGTTCCTGCCTGAGCATGGCATGTAATTGCTTATTTATGCCTTAGTATTCAATACTCACCCTAAAATATGCAGGAACTGAGAGATATTGCAATGACAGAAGCATTAAAGGGAAAACATATCTTTCTCGAAACTGACATGAAAGGACCGTCCTTGAAGCCTGACAACATTGAAACCCCAAAAATGGGAAGGAAACAAATAGAGAATACAAGGCCGAAAATGCCAAATGCAGAAACAAAGTACCACAAGCATAAGGAAGATTAAACTAAAAACCAATACAGTCTAGTATAACAAATCTTCCCCATACAAAATCAAAACAAAATACAAAATCGAGCAGTCGTTGCCACAAAGGGACCGGAGACCCCACCAATATGGTCACAAAGGTGGGGATTCACATCCTCCACACAAGTCAGCATAACTGCACATAAAAACTAGAGCTCTTTATAAGACGTATTTTTGGAAGTAGATTAGTTTGAATTGGACTATGCAAGTGTCCCAAACGAATGACAAGTGGGTTTGACCTATTGGGTCAATGCCTAGCAAAAGAAGTGAAAACTAAAGGGGTTTACCAAACGAACGTTCTGGGCTTTTCTCTACTGCAGATGTGGCATGAGAACCACATCTTTTCACATCACGACTTATTAATTTGACAATTTTCAACTTTAAAAATTCACCAAAATGCTTCCAAACACATAAAAATTCCTTGAAATTTTTTACGGGCTGGTAGTCACCTTTACTTTTATTATGTGACTTCAAAAATTAATGTTTGACCAGAATAGTTTTTTTTTCTCAAAAACTTCTCACTATTTCTAACTCAAATAATAAAGTTTGAAATAAATTCTTAAAATTCCACATCGCTTAAAGTTCATAAAAACAATTTCCAAGCACGTGAAACATGTTCGCTATGCAAGCTACGTACGTTTGAGTTGAAATTAATTCCATATTGAAAAACTAAAGCTCCTTTTTAAATTTTTTTTCTTCAATCAAAGTTCATTAAAACCCCAAAAATGGAAAGAAACAAACAGAGAATACAAGGCCGAAAATGCCAAATGCAGAAACAAAGTACCACAAGCATAGGGAAGATTAAACTAAAAACTAGTACAGTCTAGTATAACAAATCTTCCCCATACAAAATCAAAACAAAATACAAAACTGAACCACCGTTGCCACAAAGGGATCAGAGACCCCACCAATATGGTCACAAAGGAGGGGATTCACATCCTCCACACAAGTCAGCATAGCTACACATAAAAACTATAGCTTTTTATAAGACGTATTTTTGGAAGTAGATTAGTTTGAATTGGACTATGCAAGTGGCCCAAATGAATGACAAGTGGGTTTGACCTATTGGGTCAATGCCCAGCAAAAGAAGTGAAAACTAAAGGGGTTTACCAAACGGACGTTCTGGGCTTTTCTCTATTGCGGATGTGGCATGAGAACCAGACTAGCATACCGGCTTCTTTTCTAGCCGTTTCAGAAAAGCCCATTATCGTCAAAAGCAAAATCTCTTTGTCAATTTGGTAATTTTAACTCCTTAAACTCTGTTCAAAAGGGCATGGCTCCCATGTATTTAGTTGGGCCTGAATGGGAAAGAAGGCGGCAAGAAATTGCTTTGCTTTGTCATAACAAAAAGAAAAGAAGGGGCCGTCAACGAGCAATAAAAAGAAAGCTTGCCCAAACACCAAAGCAGCCTTCATCTTTACCTTGAATAATTTAGACATTCTTTCGATGATCTTTAAATCGTTTCAAAATGGCAGCAAAATAGCATTTTTTGTGATTTCTTTCTATCAAAGAATCATATGAATGGTTTATTCCTACGTAATACACTTCACTGCGCAATGAGCTGCCTACACTATGGCCCAAATGAAAAGGGTGGAGAGTGAGAGAACAAATATTTTTCTCTTCTGTAAAAGAACCTAACTAGGTAACCCTGCCCTGGTTTTCTATGAGCAGGCTTCAGAAACCCCGAATATATTTGGTTCATTTCGTTCAAGAGTGCCAGATAATTTTTGCAAAGATTATTAAGTTGGTGCTACTTGTTCTGTTTCTAAATCGTACATTCAGTCCATGCATGAAAACAATGGTAATATTGGTTCAAAAATTCAAAATGCATCATACTGGTAAACTTGTGGTACATCAATCGTTGCTTCAAATGCATAAAAAAGAAATGCAACCTTTATCTAACATCATACTGGTTCAAATGCATTCAATCCTTGATTAATTATTTCTTTTGTGCTTTGAAGGTCATTGTGGAGAAGGCAGAGAACATTGACAATTTGACAGGAAAAAGTAAACACCAGTTTCATGTTACGTCTAATTGTAATGAGTTTTGTGAATTGGTTTAAGTTATCTTTAGAATCATATTGGTTTCATAAAAAACATTTTAAATATTTTTTTTAATCCAAATCCATGCGGGGTGCTATTATTGGACAAGTGTGCTCTACATATGTGTCACGTAAGCAATTTAACAGAATTTTTTATGGAATCTCATGACATAGACCAGTTTGATGTACGCGTAGTAATCTTAAGGACCAACCATGTCACAAAAAAAACACAAAAGGCCAAAGGTGATAATTTCGTAAACCTCTTAGACCATTTGTGAAAATGAGCCTTAATTATATACAGTTGTGCAAATATTTGAGGTTTTCCCATTTTCTGTAAACTGTGTGACACCCAAAATCTCTGTCCGGAGAGGGAGCTTTTCAACTTAATTGGGCTCATTTTCTTGTCATGATCTATATTTGTGAAGAAATAAATTGCTACCTACTGTGCTATATCAAGGCTAAACTGCTTTTATATATATAACTTTATATATTAATGACTTGATTATTTGACTGTATGACAGGCACTGAGGCACCTAGTTCAGTTTATTTGACTGTGAAACAATTTGTCTATGCATCTAAACTGAGTGCAGAAAAGGCAATCTACATATTTGTAGACAATGTCCTCCCACCTACCTACAGGTATCTATCTACAGCAATGTCTCTCTTCCTCTCCCTCCCTCTTAGTTTAAGTTTAGGGTTGAAATTCAATGGCAATGCACCTTTGTCTTGGTAAATATAGTTAATTACTGACATTAGTCAAAATTTGGTTGGAAAGATGTTCATAAGATTCTGGGATATGATTAAACTTCTGCAATAATACTTGGAGTATATGAATTGCATAAAACTTTTGCAAAAATTTAGTATTGATATTGAAGAGAGGGATTTTAGCATTGATGGAAGAATTGGTAAACAACGGTTAATGCTTATCCTAGCTATAAATCTTATATGACTAACCTTTTGAAATTGCACATATGTGTATGATTGATCTTTAAATGTCAATGGTAAAAAATAATCGAATCCACGTGGATATTGATGACCTACCTTAGCAGCCTTATGTACGATTATAGTACAGTATAAAAGTCATAGATCAATGAATGAATTTCTAGATATACAGTACAAGTATTTAAAAGGCTAGAAGAAGCAAAAATTATATTTAAGAAGTTATAATCGCACAATTTGTGCCGTAACTCAAAGCCTGATTACATGCTTCAATTCAACGAAAATACCTCGTGGAGAATGGGGCCCAGGTACGGGTGGGGACCGCAGCGACAGCACCTGGTAAATGACTATTTTCACATGGCTGAACACCACGTGTCAAGCTTGGCCGGTAATGACGGTTAGGACATTTTGTCGTGGTCCTTGCTAGGGAAACAAGAGAGGGATGGTCCACGCTGCCCTTGTCTGCTGTCCCCACACCGTACAAATTTATGTAGGCCCTACATGTGGGCCATGTTACGCTATTTCAATTTCTATCCCATCTCAAGAATTATGTCAATGCCATTATGCCACAATGCCATACCCACTCTTCTCTATACAATCGTTTGAGGGTAGATATTAAGAACAGGGATTGTACTGCATTATATACACTCATGAAAGATAAGTTTAGAGTTGGGATTTGGAGAGAGACACGCTGAGAATGGGTGTATACACCCATGATAACTAAGTTCTTGTTCATGTGATCATGTCTATACATCCAAGTGTCGAAGGGGCATGAATACTCATGATAGATAAATTTAGGGTTAGAGTTGAGAGATACGAAGAACATGATCTATATACTTATTATAGATATGTTTTTACCCATATCTCTGCATCCACAAGTGTTGATACTAAAACGAAGTGGTACAAATTAAGCATTTATGTTTTTAGCATATGCTTCTAAACTTTTTACATAAATTCATATCAATGGCAACTGGCAATTGGATGCCACACATAAGTCCTTCTGGTTTGAGGTTGTGGGTCTGTCTTGGCATTGGTGGTGAGAGTAGCTAATCTCCAGCCCCCTAAATTTTTTTTCAAAAACAAAAAAAATTACAATATGTTGATCAACACACTACTGTAATATGACAAGAAGCCGAATTTGAGGAAGTTTTAATTACCACATACGCTTAATTAATATGCATTACTGTGATCAACTACAAGGCTGCATACATTGTTTTCTAAGCAGCTTAATGAAGAATTTTTAAATTTTCTGTTGCACGTACGCACAACCCCTTTTGCAATCTAAACAATATTTTAAATGATAGGAGAGACTAATTAAAAGGCATTTAGCGTGGATGCTTACCAACTAATCAATCACCATGAAGTGAAACATCTTCCTTAAAAGCATGGATCGAGTTCATATATATAGGTTATAGCCTAGGCTAGCCCCATCGATTCCTAAACTTCATTTGCTTGGAATAGAAAATTAATTCACCCTCCATTGCTCCGTTGCTTGTAAAGCAAAGGTCATTCCCCTAGCTGCCTTTTGAATGTGACCATGATTTGATGATTAATTTGTCATATCATTATAATCATAGTTAACTCGTGATTAAAAAAAAATCATTAGTTAAGTTGTCCAAGCTCCAAGAGGTAAAAAGGCAGGCAGGGGCTAGGAACAAGGACGCACAACATGCAAATGGGTGTGATTAATCTACGCTATATCTCAAAGACAAGTGATATTAGAGTGTGCCTCGGTTTGAACAATTAGGCAGACAGTAGACACCAGCTTTCTTGATTTTGTTTTTTGTTTCACCTCTTGTGCATGCAGCCCCCCATTTTTCTATTATATATATTTGAACCCTTCTACAATTGAAAGTAAAATTAGATCTCTTTGACTCTCTTTTTGCTTCTCTCTCTCTCTCTCAACCCTCTCTCTCTCTCTCATAATACAAACAAAAAAGAGAGTGAGCAGGCCCCCCCATATATTTTGAAGAGGGTTGAGAGTTGCATCTCTTTCTCTGGTGGGTGTGTCTTGTGCCTTGGGACCCAACAATTGAAATTTGAGAGAAAATTGAAAGGACAAAGTAAGAGACCACCCATATCTTCATTTTCCTTTTCTACTACTCCTTACCCACACACCTTCATGTTCTTCTGCTAGACCTACCAAACCACTTAAATCTTCTGATTACCTGCATCTATTGCTCTCATTCTCTCCCTCTCTCTACATATACCTCCTCTCTGACCACTAGCTCTACTGCAAACACCCCCTCCCCAAGCAAGCTTTCCTCTCTGTATCCCTAATATTCCATTTGTTTGCATCCTTATCTCTTAATATGTCAACAAGTACTAGTGCTCATTGCCTTCTTCTTTTCCTTCTTTGCCTTTCTTTGCATGCATGTAATGCCCGGCGTCTCGGTGCGGTTGATAAGAAGCCTGAAAACAAACTTCACCTCATCAACAAGGTAACATGTGCACCATGTTGTTTAATATGATTTCTTCAATTCTTTCAATTTGAGTTGGGCACAACATAAATAGATGATCGGGAAATAGAGTCTGATACTGGGTACCAATTTATAGTATTTGATACATTCTCGATACTATATTTTATATTTCGTTAACATTTTGTAATATCGACAATGTACCAAATACTGTAGATTGGTATATGATACTAATCAATCACTTGTTGAAATCTGAAATTTAGATTAAATTAAACCAATCCACTTAACTATAGCTAGCTTTTTGGTTTTGTGCAGAGTACTAAAGGAAAGGGTTCTGATGATAACATTCCAGTTGTGGCAAAGGTGAAGTCTTTCTCATCAAAGGAAGCACCTGAAGTGGCAAAAGAACAAAGCACAGCAGAGACTCAAAGTGATAACAGTATCAACACTAAGGAGCCCAAGCAAACAAAAACCAGTGATGTATCAAGAAAAACAAAAAGGTCGGCCTCAGGTGCTGTTGAACATCATCCAACAACTGCAGATGATGATGATAATAAGTCGTCTTTCGATTCGGTTTCATGGCGTGTTCCCCACAAGAAACGTGGAGTTCAGAAGCAACCAGGGTTCAATCTGGACTACTCACCCCCAAAGACACACCCTCCTTCTCACAACTGATATATATATTCTCATCATATATAACTACATGATCACCAGCTGATGACCCACCTTTTTTCTTGTTCTTGTTTCTTTCCCTAGACTCTGCATTAATAATTAATACTAATATATTCTCCTGTCTCTCTCTCTCAATGCAATGTTCCATCAATATATGTATGCATGTGGGAAGTTACGGTAGTGAAGAACGCTTGTAGGGCCTCACAGTCCTCATAGCTAGCTAGGGTAGTTAAAATGCTTATTTACATATATATGATATGACTGTATAACGAAAGTGGAAATTCTATGTGTTATCAGGCTTTTCATTTCTTTAATTTACGTCAGAGAAGCCTCTTATCATTTCATGTGGGCTATCAGGATTTAAACAGGAAAATGTGAAAGAGTACCGCATGCATGCCTAACTATTCTAATTTCATATGCTTATGCTTTTGGTCAATGGTTCGGTAATTGAATAGCGCGCACCAGGAAACACTTTAATTGATCGGCAAAAATATATAACTTAACTAACCTGCCCAGTTTTAGCTTTTGGTAAAAAAAATGATGGTAAAGTTCAGGTTACTTAATATACGTCAATTAATGACTCTCCATGGAAAGCACTGCATGCAGATACTAATTTCACGGGAAAATGCCTTTACTGACCACAAAGTGCCCTTGTTAAAGGCATTCCGTTTTGAAGTGAGATCGGTAAGTTGTGTTTTTATTTAGAACATGTGTTGGGATCGACTTAATTAATTGATTTGTATATTTTCCTGCCCATTTCTTTGATATTTTCATGGTTTGATTGGCAAGGAGCTCAAGAAACCTTCAATTTTGTGGACAATGGAGGTAAGCAATGAATTGAAAGCATTAAATGATACGTGGACTTAAGCATTATCTAAGACATTGATGGGTCGAGAGAGAGCATGTATTTGCGATGAGATATTTATCAAGTGGTTGGTTGTCTTTGAATTAATGACGGTGGCAATTGTAGTTTGATGACCCCACACTTCTAGTTGATGTTTATACGTTTCTTGCATGTTATTGCGAGGAAGGGCTAGCAGTTAATGATCATCTGGTGAATGGAGAGCTTCACATGCAGGCAAAGTTTTTCTTTCGCACAATATTAACATGAGTTTTACCTGATTGATTTTGAATTGGATGCCCACATTCTATTATGGTATTAGAGTAGGTTATTCATATATCATGCCCAATAGCCCACCGTACTTTCACGTCACCAATATATATTTTCCACGTGTTATACTTAAATAACGACATACGTGAAGGGTGTTGATGCCTTTTATAATTCTATAGAAAAACACACACACAAAATGACTCAAGGTTACTTAGTATATATCACTCTATCTTTCCTTTTTGGCGGGTCCTCACTCCTTGTGCCTTTTAGAGGTCGTTGACAATGCAATGAACTTCAAATCCATATCTTATTCATCACCGATATATGTTTTTCACGTGTTATACTTAAATAACGACATACGTGAAGGGTGTTGATGCCTTTTATAATTCTATAGAAAAACACACACACAAAATGACTCAAGGTTACTTAGTATATATCACTCTATCTTTCCTTTTTGGCGGGTCCTCACTCCTTGTGCCTTTTAGAGGTCGTTGACAATGCAATGAACTTCAAATCCATATCTTATTCATAAGTCTTTCTTTCTATTTGTTGTGCCAAGAAAAGACAGTGAACCTTTTTCTACTGCTTGACCTTCATGCCTTATACACATTGTTCATACAACCAGCCCCCCGAAGTCCAGTTATTTTGACTAATTTATTATTCAACACAAAAATCTACTTAGGCATGCACCATGTCCCAGACCCAGAGGACCCAGACCTAACCAGAGAGACATAAGATGCAACATTTTCAAGGGTGTCTCCAAAAACAGGCAATCTGTAAACGTGATTCAACTCAAAATTTTAAAATCCCCATAAACAAAATTATGGCAACAAACATCCCATGTATCCCTAGTAGCCAAAATTCTTAACAAATCCATAAGTTGAAACCCAATGTGCCTCTTCCCCATGTGATCCAACGGCTCAAATTGCACTCCATGCTAATCCCCATCACATAACCTTGTTAATTTCCGTTCCTTGTGTTGTTTGTTTTTTCGATTAATAATTTTTTTTAATCATTCATCCCAAAGAAAAAAATAAATGAGAAAGAAAGAAGAAGAGGTGGGAAAAGTTTGCATTTTCCAAGATGAGATCATTTCTCTCTACTTGAGAAACCAGATTGAAGCTCCCTATACATTTTGTCTCCCAAGATTAAGTGGAGGCAACCTTGTTTAACCAATTAATTATGTACTTTGATTTATTATTAAATTGGGCATTAAGTACTTTGATGGATCGGTGCTTCTGGTTTTTATATTCTCAAGTCAAATGCTACATTTGAAAATGGATGAGTGTAGATTCACACTGTTCTAAATGTTGATATTTTATCATCAAATTGAACTTTACTTGTTGTGAATCGAAGTGATGTTCTCATACCAAACTCATCTAGCTAGTCTAATGTTTATGTTGTCAAACAATGAATATAACCTGTATATTATAAGTTAGATGTCAAATTTACGGGTTACAGTCAAATTTATATCTTTTGAGATTTGAGATTTTAATTTCAAAATTTGTATTAGAAAACTAATCAGATAGAAATTTGAAATATTTTTTATATTATAAACCTCAAGTTAGTAAGGCGTTTGCTCAGGTTGTTAAGAGTATTTGTCCATTCAAGATTCTAGCTTCGATTCTCTCCTCCCTTAATATCGCTCGAATACAATAAAATAAAAACCTCTAATATCGCTTGAATACAAGAAAAATGAAATCCTAAGTTATCAATACATTATACATAAACTGAGGAAATTAAATAAAATAAAAAGAAAAAAGACATTCCGCTGCCGGATCGAATTATACATGACCCAAAGATATTAATTTGGTAACAAAATCCCTTCCAAGCCCACAAAAATATAAATAAAAAGAAATTCCGCTGCCGGGATTCGAACCCGGATTAACAATTATCCATTTGTGAGTATTGCTACAGCGGATTTTGGTGATCAGAAATGGATAAAAAAATCTATATAAACGAATCTACGGAGTTAAAAAGCCCATTTATTTTTGCGTTGAATCTGGGTTGGGCTGAGGAGCTGGGCCTTGGAGGTCTTAGCTGTGTGTACGTGAAACTTCTTCTTCGTTCACAATTTCCCGCCAAAACAACCTTTCCAAATTGAAAGAGAAACTCGAGATTTTCCAACAACCACAACCCACAACGCATAAACCAAACAAGAGATTGAAAATTTCTGGAGCAAGAGAGAGAGAGATGGAGGTGAAGAAAGCAGGGGCGTCGTTGGATTCGGTGATCTCAGGGTTCAACCGTCGGATCGCGGAGCTTCAAGACCTCGTTATTGCGCGAAACAGTAAGACCCGACCCGAACCAACTTGCTACTCTGCTTTATTCAATTTCTCTAATCCCAGGCGTCCATCTGAGCTCTGAAATGTCCACGTGGCAGTGTATCCGGCGAGCAGCGTCACCGATTTGTCGGCCGTTGACGCCGCAGTGAAGGCCATGGAGCTTCAGGTTCAGGCCATCAAGGACCGCCTACGCGACGAAACCCTAGCCATCCCCAAAGCCAAAGTAAACCCCCTTCTCTCCATCTCTCTCTCAAGTTTTCAATATTCGAAATTTGAAATTTCAAAAGGGGAAATTAAAAAATGAAGTAAAATTTTTAATCTTGCAACTAGGAAAGTAAGAGAATGAAATTTGATCATCTGGGTGTGTTTGGTACATATTTTGCCTGTAGAATTCTCAGTGAATTACAATTAGATGTTATAATGTGATGGCAGAAACTCATCGATGCGGCGGTGAAGCAGCAAAAGAAATTGCAGAACCTGTCAATTTTTGTGCCCTCACATATTCCTGAAAGAATGTCTATGTTGGGTTTGGATACTAATGAATTGAACTTTACTTGTTGTGAATCGAAGTGATGTTCTCATACCAAACTCATCTAGCTAGTCTAATGTTTATGTTGTCAAATAATGAATATAACCTGTATATTATAAGTTAGATGTCAAATTTACGGGTTACAGTCAAATTTATATCTTTTGAGATTTGAGGTTTTAATTTCAAAATTTGTATTAGAAAACTAATCAGATAGAAATTTGAAATATTTTTTATATTATAAACCTCAAGTTAGTAAGGCGTTTGCTCAGGTTGTTAAGAGTATTTGTCCATTCAAGATTCTAGCTTCGATTCTCTCCTCCCTTAATATCGCTTGAATACAATAAAATAAAAACCTCTAATATCGCTTGAATACAAGAAAAATGAAATCCTAAGTTATCAATACATTATACATAAACTGAGGAAATTAAATAAAATAAAAAGAAAAAAGACATTCCGCTGCCGGATCGAATTATACATGACCCAAAGATATTAATTTGGTAACAAAATCCCTTCCAAGCCCACAAAAATATAAATAAAAAGAAATTCCGCTGCCGGGATTCGAACCCGGATTAACAATTATCCATTTGTGAGTATTGCTACAGCGGATTTTGGTGATCAGAAATGGATAAAAAAATCTATATAAACGAATCTACGGAGTTAAAAAGCCCATTTATTTTTGCGTTGAATCTGGGTTGGGCTGAGGAGCTGGGCCTTGGAGGTCTTAGCTGTGTGTACGTGAAACTTCTTCTTCGTTCACAATTTCCCGCCAAAACAACCTTTCCAAATTGAAAGAGAAACTCGAGATTTTCCAACAACCACAACCCACAACGCATAAACCAAACAAGAGATTGAAAATTTCTGGAGCAAGAGAGAGAGAGATGGAGGTGAAGAAAGCAGGGGCGTCGTTGGATTCGGTGATCTCAGGGTTCAACCGTCGGATCGCGGAGCTTCAAGACCTCGTTATTGCGCGAAACAGTAAGACCCGACCCGAACCAACTTGCTACTCTGCTTTATTCAATTTCTCTAATCCCAGGCGTCCATGTGAGCTCTGAAATGTCCACGTGGCAGTGTATCCGGCGAGCAGCGTCACCGATTTGTCGGCCGTTGACGCCGCAGTGAAGGCCATGGAGCTTCAGGTTCAGGCCATCAAGGACCGCCTACGCGACGAAACCCTAGCCATCCCCAAAGCCAAAGTAAACCCCCTTCTCTCCATCTCTCTCTCAAGTTTTCAATATTCGAAATTTGAAATTTCAAAAGGGGAAATTAAAAAATGAAGTAAAATTTTTAATCTTGCAACTAGGAAAGTAAGAGAATGAAATTTGATCATCTGGGTGTGTTTGGTACATATTTTGCCTGTAGAATTCTCAGTGAATTACAATTAGATGTTATAATGTGATGGCAGAAACTCATCGATGCGGCGGTGAAGCAGCAAAAGAAATTGCAGGACCTGTCAATTTATGTGCCCTCACATATTCCTGAAAGAATGTCTATGTTGGGTTTGGATACTAATAGATGGTAAAACAAATTTCTCAGGCATCCATATGGATTAAGTAACTTTGGTTTGGGTTTGAAGTTTATTTGCATTTGATAGCTAGAGGATTTGTGTTGTGTTGTTTGTTTCAGTTTATTCCCAGAAGGCTCTCAACAAAACACCGCTTTCGGGTCGTTGAAGCTTGAGGAGGTGCCCGTAGCACTACCTAAGGTAATAAATGATGTGCAGAAAATTGCTTAGTATTTCTTAAAGAGTGGCCCTTTTCTTCATACTATTGGTTTATTGCTTAGGGTTGGGTACTATCATACTAAGATTGGATTTTTTTTGTTCTTTTGTGCCGTTGGGAAATGATGTGCAGAAAATGATAATGGAAGACTGTTGCTCAGTTCTTTAGCTAGTTTGTTCTGGAACCATCTTTTGTTTTATGTTGCAGATACAGTAGAAGGGTCATCTGTGCTTTCTTTTTTTGTTAATTTCAGGAGAAAAAGGGTCGTTCCACTCCACCACTGTGGTTCATAACTGCTGAAGAGCTGGATTCCCTGTCAGGGTGAGTGAACTTTTCTTAATTTCTCTTACTTTATTTGTTAAGAGCGCGTCCCATCTTCACTGTATGCTTTTGAAAACAAAGCATACTTACAAGATAGGTGCGTTCACATCTGAGTTGGGTATGGGCTGTCCAAATGGGACATCTCAAAATCAAGTTGTATAAATGTGACATAGAGGTATAGTAATTGTGTAAATCTATGAGGTCGAACTCCTACATGTACAAACAAGTAATAGTATTGGACTTAAGCCTTGTCTCAAATGGTTAACAAGAAAAGTTGGCTGTCACGGCTTCTTCTATTTCCAGAGTAAAAATGAGTTAGATAGATGACTTCTCTCTCGACCTGAGCTTAAAGTACTATACATCCACAAACTACAGACATTTCCTTTGTTGGGAACAAAAAGCTTCCCTCTAGTATGCAAGTATGCAAAACAAAAACAAAAAAATGCTACGGGAATAAAATTGATGAAAAGCAAGAAATATGGCAATGCTAAAAAGGATTTAGAAGGTGTTCTCTTTCCATTCATACAGATATCTCATAATACTACCCTTTATTTTTCATTGAAGAATGTTCCACCACTTCAAAATCTCTAACTCTTTCCAGCTATGATACACCTACTATAACAATGAAGGTTTCCAAATTGAAACATAACTTTCTTTGTGTTGCCTTGGCATATAAGAGAATATGATAGCTAGTAATTCAATCGAACTGTGATATATATTGGGTAATCCGATATTGTCTCTTTTAATTTTTCCCCAATTTTCTTTCCATGGTGGGTAGGTGATGGAAAATGAGTTCTTAGGTATCTAGTCCTTATTATTCACGTCATTTGCTTGCTCTAAGTATTTTTAGCTGCAGATACATGAGAGGAAGGCTTACTGTAGAAAAGATCAATGCAGCTATTAATGACATGGCAACATATGCTGAAGCAAATTCTCAGCTTATATCTGCCCCGAAGAAGAGGGTTTATGCTCCATCTCTTTGAGTTTTTGGTTTGTACATTAATGCTATTGCACAGGTCTCACTCTGGTGATCAATTATCATGCAGGTGGCAGGAGATAGTTGGGAAAAGGCCCTGGTAAGTGAACTTATGGGCTTTCAGTGTTCTGGGGTTCCATTGGTGGCCAATTGGGCCCATGGGTTACAAAGTGGGAGATAGCTATCTCTCATCGTATAAGCCTCTCCATCCTTGGAGGTGGGAATTGATCCCAGGTTAAAAGGGCATGCTTACTTCACTTTTCTCAGGATTGAAGGCAGGCCACCTCATATTGTGTTGCTTACTGTGCACTCTTTGAAATACATGTAAAAAAGAATTAGAGAGAAATAGCAATATCCCTTCCTCTGTTCCGTTCCAACACCATTGTGTTTTTTTTGGTTACAAATGATGCGTCTAGTAACATTGTGTTTTCTTTTGGTTATAAATGATGCGTCTAGTAGGGTTTTGGAATATGGGACTCTGTGATCTGTATTACCATTTCAGTCAATGGGCATGTGGGCTGTCACTGCTGCTTAATTAGTCATATTCCTGAGCATGGCATGTAATTTCTTACTTATGCCTTAGTATTCAATACCCACCCTAAATTATGCAGGAACTGAGAGATATTGCAATGACAGAAGCAGTAAAGGGAAAACACTTCTTTCTCGAAACGGACATGAAAGGACCAGCCTTGAAGCCTGACAACACTGGAAAAGCAATACTAACTGTAAGTCTGTGCCTTATCTTTTATTTTTCAAACTTTTATGATTTGAAAAACTAAAAAAGAAATTAGGTAAAAAAATATCATAGTTCAATTAAGAAAACTACACTGGTTTTTTACTTGACTTGAGTAAATATATTACCTTCCACGCTTCATGAACTACAAACTGAATATTTTATATTTTGGTCAAATTACCCTGGTAATTGTATCAAGCTGCTACTTGATTTCTGTTATCTTTTTAGTTGAGACAAATGGAGTTAGCTAGTCATGTATGTAAGATAATCCTTGAGTATGATTTAGTTAGTGGCTACATTCTCTTCAAGCAAAGAGGTCTTAAGTTCAGATCCTCCCTTCTGAATAAGTGATTAAACAAAACGAGTTTCTGTGCTATATCCACTTGGAAGATGATGGCTTGACAAGTGCAAGGTTTTGCAATGGCATTTCTCTTACATTCCTTGGTACTTATGTTCAGTTACTTGAGTGTATAAAATTGAATCCTTGTGCATGCTGCATTACAGGTCCTTCGTCACCTTGGTCGTGTAAGCGAGACACGGATTGGGCCTCATCGAGTGATCATTCTTTTGAAGCGTCATTGACAGGGCCTGCTTTTTCAAAGAACTGGCGGTTTGGTTCTTAATCTGTTTCAAGTTTGAACAAAACTGCAAGTTCTTACATTGCATCCAAGTTAATTCTGGCCTAACAATGTGCGGAACCTTGGAAATGGCAAGAAGCCGATAAGCTTTTTAGGCTGTGCTCAATTGGTTAAACTTATTTTTGATAGTTATGAAAATGTTGGCTATTGGAGCTTTTTGTGAAGATCTTTCATTGATCTTGACATTACCAACAATGTATTTCATTCTTGATCTCATGATATATACAAAGGTGAAGGAAAGGTCTGACCCTTATAAATAATTGTGCCGAAATCGATGAAGCAACTAGAATACTCATACATTCGGCTTATGGTTGAATTGCCAACGACAATAAACAATTAATTAAGTTTACATCTAGACTACCAACGACTCCACTAAATTTCCTTTACATCTTTAAGCACTTTTTAGGACCAAAAAAATAAAAATAAAAATAAATAAAAAAATAAAAAAATAAAAATTGAAGGTATTCCTTAACCAAATGCCTCATTGGGTGTTAAACAAGTAGATCCCATCCTCCTTCGGTCTCCATATGCAATGGACTCCAGCACCAGTGTCTCAAAAGTTATTATTTCCATGCATCAAAAACAACATGGTGGTTCAGGTAGTGTAAATTGCAGAAGTAAAGGATGGTGCCTATGAGGTTCACACGAAACCCGAATTCAAACTGATCCCCACGATGAGGAAGACTACGCGAAATCACATCATCTGCGGATTTACATACAAAGTCCAGCTGTTTGTTGTCAAGGTTGTTGACAATGCGGACAGTGGCGGACCCATCAAAATATGAAAAATCGGTTTTCGTGCAAAATATAATTTATGCTAAAAATGATGGTTCATTAAGTCAATATATACTTAATGCTAAAATCCCATAAAATCAAGTTTTCTTATTTGATGTGTAAGGAATAAAAGCTGCCAAAAATTATCTTGAGAAAATGATTATGCCGAAAAACCATTTTTCATACTTAAGTCAAAATTTTTACATAAAACAATTTTTCATGTATGATATGAATGCATGAAGGGACCTAAGGTCAATCTAGGTAAAAAGCCTTAGATGCTCAATCCACAAAGAGTTTTTAGCATTTCAAAATTGCACCTCTGCTAAAAAATTCCGGAGTCGGTCAAAAAACAATTTTTCATACTTAAGTCAAAATTTTTACATAAAACAATTTTTCATGTATGATATGAATGCATGAAGGGACCTAAGGTCAATCTAGGTAAGAAGCCTTAGATGCTCAATCCACAAAGAGTTTTTAGCCTTTCAAAATTGCACCTCTGCTAAAAAATTCCGGGGTCGGTCGGACGAAGTATTTTTTACCAAGTGTGACCTACAAAAGAACACAAGACAACAAAACTGAAATACTGCTCCTCTCTTCATTTCTCTCTATTTTTCTTTCAGATATTTCTGATGAAGAGAGAGATTTTGAATTTTTGATAGAGACTAGTATGTATGCTGCATTCCTTATGCTTTTATAGTGAAAAAGAATGCTACGTATAGAGTCAATAGTACATAGAGGGAATATGTCTTTACATAGTGTGAGATTTATAGTGGGATCCTCCTTACAAACTCCATAAATTGATAAAAAGTTAGATACGTAACTTTTATGGTAAGATTAGCATGACTCATATCATATACATTGTTTTCTAATGACTATGACTTAAGTCATTCAATTTAACACACTGCATACTTAATAAACAAATGAACCAAAAGGTGATCATAACTTCTCAACATTGTAACAACAAGGAGGGGAAAAAAGGGTGTTGTTTCATTTCTCTCATGTCAACATAATTAGTGTATCCTCAACGAGAAATTGGAGAGTTTGAGAGTGGTGGGGCATATTGGAACATTAGAGCTCAAACTGAGTAATTCATGAGGATTGAGATAGGTTCAAAGTGGATCATTGTCTCATGTGCCCCGTTTGAGCTCATAGTTCGGTATGTTTTGATCTCGATACTGATCATGATTTGGTTTGGTTTGAGGAACCTCTTTTTTTGATTCAGAATTTGATTTTATAATTTATCTTCAAAAAGAGAGAGAAAAAAAAAAGACTGAATGATGTGGGATATTGGAGAAAGCTAAAGTATTTCAAGTTTGAATAACAAGAAGACTGCCACCTATATTAGTGGTTCAGCTATATAGACTGCCAAGGGTCTTAGTTAGCCTTTGTTATATAAATCAACTCTTTCTCCGTAATTCATTAAGCAAGATCATAAAGAAAATTATGTTTGCTTTCTCTCTAAAATTTCGTTGAGTGTTCTTTCTAAACTCATTCCAATAGCTTCCAGTACTCCATATTCATGGTGGTGGACCCACCTCTAGAAGTTTACACTACTGAAATCTATATGGAGACAAATTTCTTTATTTGACAAATTTCTATATGGATATCAGTCTCCACCACTAGTGATTGTATAAGAATAAGTTTAGGGTTTGTAGGGAATAAAGACAACACGTGATCATCATTTTTTTTGGCCCTAGAAAACACTATGTCTACCTTTTATCAAAGGGGCGTAAGCGGTGAATTTTTTTTTGGCCCTAGAAAACAGTATTCCAGTATTATATGATAATGGCTCAAACCTTAGGACGAGACACGCCACAAATGTCTTTCATTTAAAAAGTAAGAAAAAAAAGTAAATTTATTAAAACCAAACAAACCAAGAGGCAGCCCAAGGCATACCCAACAAATTTACAACCAAACAGCTTAAAGCTGAAAAAGTGAGAAACAATATAAAGGTCCAACAAGTTAATCAGAACCTAAAACAACAACAAAACCTAACCAAACCTGAAAACTGAAAACAAAACTAGACCTAGCTGATGCAAAAGCCGATACCTTGCTCATCATTAGGTAAAAATCAGAGAGTGAATTAATCCGAAAATTAAACACAGCATTGCTACAAACGTCATCCCCAGGAAGGATAACAAGATGAGCGCATGGATGCTTCTTAGTCTTTGCCCTATTGTCATTCTTTTTCTTCTAGGAGCAAGTGCTTCTCGACGAGCATACATGGTTAATTCTTTCTGAAATGAACAAGTAATTACTATTCACTAATTATGATTGAACAAAAAACCTGATTCTCATGTTATTTATAAGCTAGTAAGATGGCTATGATAATCAGAATCCTTTTTTAGGAAAAGATTAAGAAATTGAAGTTCATCAAATTAGGATTTGCTGGCTAATACTTGAAAAACAATGAATCGAATCCTTTTTGTACTTTGTTTTCCAATTTATTAATCTAATCAAATTTTAATTTTAATTTTAAGCCAGCCAAATAAATCTATGTTTTGTTCTAAGCTATAAATACGTTAACCTAAACGCGTTTTTGATGTCCCATATAAATTCCAAAATTAGATCGAAAGTTGTAGTTGCAAATTTTGTTAATCGAAATTAGTGTTTTGTGCTTTGATTTCATAACCACGTTTGTTCATGTTAAAATTGTTTATGAGAATCATGCCTACGTGTGCCCTTTGCCATGTAATTTGTTCATATGTGAGGTGAATTTTTACTGCATATTTTTTTTGGTTACCTAAACAACAAAATTGACTGCATTAAATGAAGCACATCGTATTCGTATCTATAGTTTCACTGGTCGACATTAATGAAAATTCTCTTGTTTCGTTATTCGTTGTATTATAGATCATGATGAAGATTGAGCTCAACCTCTGGTCGACATTATTTGTCTGGCTAAATAGTGGACCTTGTGTGGCAAGCAGCAATTGAGGTATGAACAAAGATGCTTAATTGAGGTATTTTGTCTTGTTTTTGTCTGATGAGTCGCATTTTCCCTATCTTTATGCATAAGATATTTTTCACTACCTATGAAATCTGGGATTTGTGGATGAAAGCATCCTTCCCAAAAGAATTAAGATTTCATGGATGGATTGTTTTTTTTTTATATTTTATGAAACATAATAATTAAATTTTGATATAGAGAAATCTATATAGTTTGTTTATTGATCTTGACACTACCAACAATATTTTTATTCTTGATCTCATGCTATATACAATGGTGAAGGAAAGGTCTGACCCTTATCAATAACTGTGCCAAAATTGATGAGCTACTAGGCCATGTTTGGTGACTGAGATTGGATTGAATTATGAGGTAGAATTGAATTGCAATGGATTGAAATGATAACACTAATCCAATGATGTGTTTGATACTACACATGATTAGGGGGTTGGATGAGTAGGATTCGATATAATTCAATCCAACTTGATCCCCACCTTTTGGTAGGATTCATAATCCTTGATGTAGAACATATGGTGGAAGCAATCGAAGAGGAGCTGTAGCGATGCACGCGCAAGGGTAAATTGGGCGAACTGCAGATTTGAGCTTCGAGCTCATACTCGAGCCCATGACCCATCGATTCGAAGAGAATGACGTCACGAGTAAAACTCATTGCTTGACTATGAGTATGGGCTTTTTCGGGTATTCGAGATCGTTTAGTTTTCAGTTTTAAAGTTTATACAATTTTTGGAAGCTTTGTTATTTTTCTATTTTAATTCCTTATTTATTCCTTAGGTTTCTAGGAGTATTCAAACATATTTTACCCGTGGCAATTATGTTTTGTTATTCCAATTTATCAAATAAACTTTGAGGTTTCCTCATATCTTCCTAGTGGATTCGAAAGTTATATGTTTTAGGCTAAGGTTTTTGCAATCTATTGTCAGGTTGCATCAATCCTACTACATTTTGGCTTTAGTAGGATTAGACATAATCCAATCCATGTTGTTAGGCCACCAAATATTTGACTAGGATTATGAATCATATCTACATAATCCAACTCACTAAGCGGGCCCCTAGATTATTCATACATTTTCGGCTTATGGTTGAATTGGTCATTTCAAAGAAGTGTGTATTTTGCTTTAAAAAATATATTAATTTGTGGTCACAGAAGGTTTAACTTCAAAATATAATTATCCATCTTGAATACAAATTCTACAAAATATCCTTAGTTAATAAAAAGGAAGAAGTCATCAATCCCGAACAGGGTTAAAGTGTTCTGTTGGAAGCTTGCCCATGATATTCTTGCTAAAATATGAATATGGTTTTGAATATGTTAGGTTCTTATTTTTATTCTTCTCCATAAGGAGGTATATATAAGAGTTTACATGAGAGATTTACAAGGAATTAGATCCAGTAAAGGATTAGGAAAGTATCTCCTAATTATACAATGATTTGACAACTCTATAAAATAGGAAAGTAAATCACTTAATTAACCAAAGGAAATAAATCTATAAAATAGGAAAG